ACGTTCGTGTAATTATAATCGCTAAGATAACCGGGTGGAAATAGTGGTCCACTAGATTTCTGGAATATCGCTATCACTCTTGTGTTACATGATCAATTTGTAACTAAGTAAGCTAGGGTTATTAAAGCCGCATAATATCAAAAAATTTTATAAAATAACGTTCGTGTGATTATAATCGCTAAGTTAACCGGGTGGAAATAGTGGTCCACTAGATTTCTGGAATATTGCTATCACTCTTGTGTTACATGATCAATTTGTAACTAAGTAAGCTAGGGTTATTAAAGCCGCATAATATCAAAAATTTTTATAAAATAACGTTCGTGTAATTATAATCGCTAAGATAACCGGGTGGAAATAGTGGTCCACTAGATTTCTGGAATATCGCTATCACTCTTGTGTAACATGATCAATTTGTAACTAAGTAAGCTAGGGTTATTAAAGCCGCATAATATCAAAAGATTTTATAAAATAACGTTCGTGTGATTATAATCGCTAAGTTAACCGGGTGGAAATAGTGGTCCACTAGATTTCTGGAATATTGCTATCACTCTTGTGTTACATGATCAATTTGTAACTAAGTAAGCTAGGGTTATTAAAGCCGCATAATATCAAAATTTTTTATAAAATAACGTTCGTGTAATTATAATCGCTAAGATAACCGGGTGGAAATAGTGGTCCACTAGATTTCTGGAATATCGCTATCACTCTTGTGTTACATGATCAATTTGTAACTAAGTAAGCTAGGGTTATTAAAGCCGCATAATATCAAAAAATTTTATAAAATAACGTTCGTGTGATTATAATCGCTAAGTTAACCGGGTGGAAATAGTGGTCCACTAGATTTCTGGAATATTGCTATCACTCTTGTGTTACATGATCAATTTGTAACTAAGTAAGCTAGGGTTATTAAAGCCGCATAATATCAAAAATTTTTATAAAATAACGTTCGTGTAATTATAATCGCTAAGATAACCGGGTGGAAATAGTGGTCCACTAGATTTCTGGAATATCGCTATCACTCTTGTGTTACATGATCAATTTGTAACTAAGTAAGCTAGGGTTATTAAAGCCGCATAATATCAAAAATTTTTATAAAATAACGTTCGTGTGATTATAATCGCTAAGTTAACCGGGTGGAAATAGTGGTCCACTAGATTTCTGGAATATTGCTATCACTCTTGTGTTACATGATCAATTTGTAACTAAGTAAGCTAGGGTTATTAAACCTGCATATCATATTATGTTGTTGTAACAGTTATTACTTATCGTGTTGTTATTTGTTATAAACCTTTTTTTTTAAGTAAACTTAAGTTATTAAACAAGTAAACATAGGCTAAATTACCAATTGTATTATGTAGACAGGGTTAAGACATTAGTTACAGAGTAAAACTCATTCACAACTGCCATAGCCTAAATATAATTTCACACCACCCCTATATAAGCGCTATATAAGCTCTTCATAAGCCACTCGCTACAAGTTCCGTGTCATACGCGAAGTACCTCTCCGATCCGACGATGAGTTCGACTGGTGTTAGTGCGTTGTGGGAGCTATCTGCGGTGAAGTTTTGTGTTTCGATGAATGATGCGTCGGTGATTGAGGAGTTACCTTTACCGCTAAGCGTTAAACAGTATTTACGGTCTCGGGCTCATGATCTTTGGTGGAGTCAAACACCAATGACGCCACCTGAAGACTTTGATTATTCTTCCGTCAACTTGAAAAACTTGTCGCGAGAAGAGTTTGTGATGATTGTGAGATATCCAGACGAGGACCTTGGCATTCCAGAATTCCTCCCGGAGCAATGCCATGTAGTGTATAAGTACTACTTTTGTAGTAATCCTAGGGGAAGCTACAGGATGTGTGAGTCCTGTTTTAGGAAGCATTGTTCCTATAACCGTGGGGACATCAAACGCATGTGGGGGGTTGATGCCGATGATTGGCAATATTCGAGAGACACTGACCACGATGTCCTTGATTCGGACGTGGTCCTCTACAACGTTTTGTGGAAAGAGGAGAATTATTGCTGTATTTGTTTGCATCGTCCCCTATTTGAAATTCTTGAAAAGGAGGATTGTGTTGTACAGACCAATTATCACCATCCAGAGTTAGACTCTGATGATGATATGATGCACGACTACCGTGTGTATTGTTTTGTAAAAAGACTCAGGGTTGTTAGGGAGTAATAATAGTAACAAAGTGTTGTGAAGTAACCTTTTGTAAATATATGTATAGTGTTGTATAGTGTTGTGTGAATTGGACTCTTTGTCAATTGTATCATTTTACTATTAATTGTATGTGTATTGGGACTTGAACATTTAAATTTGAATTTCCCTCCTCGTTATTCCAACCCCGCCCCTCCACCCCCTACGAGACAGAATACACCACTTAGGTGTTGTCAGAGCCACCCCCTCCCTTACAACACAAGCGCGCTTCTCTCAACGTGACTTGTTAAGTCATTCGCTTGCGCGCTCTAGTACGGACAACCAGACCTACTAGACCTGCTACATCTGCTAGACCTCCTAGAACTATACAACACTATTTAAGGTAAGAGTTAACAACGAAACATCGCTTGTATTTATCCCCATGTAATTCTCTCTATAGTTTGTAGTACACACACACACACACACACATACAAGCGCGCTATTTATTATTAATATGAAAGTTACATAGATATTTCATTTTCCTGATTTGATGTTAAGTTTATGAGTAAGAATAATTTATTTATAATGAAACATTTGTTTAAAAACGGTTTGAAGTCAATCTTCATGTAAGACGACCAAATACTTCAATTATCAATTTATTTTCTTCTTCGTTTTATTACATAAGTTTACTAATATGATAAAACCTTTCATTCAGTAGGTTCTGTTTCTTATCATATTTGTTAGCCTATAATATAAAGCTCTCTGTTGAAATAAAATTTGGCTTTGAGTTAGCGGAAAATAAAAAAAAGTTCGTCAACTTGTACATTTCTAAAATTTAATAAACTTTTATTAACATCTCTTTATCTCTATAACGCAATATAAACTAAAGCTTTCTAATATGTTTTTAAATGCGTGTTGCAGATGGCGTTTCAGTGCAGTGTTTGTAATGCCAGTTTTGCCCTAAAACACAACTTATCCCGTCATGTGTCGAGTGTCCATGGAGATGGTGATACCTTTGAGTGTAATGAGTGTGGCAAAGACTTCCAGTCTCGACGAAATCTTCAGCGTCACATTACCCTCCACTCAAGTAAGAACCAACGACATATTATTCTAGAACATTTGTCTAACCATTCTATTAACACTGATGTTTTATTTTTATTTTTACATACGTACAACATAATATAACAAAGTAAATTGTTCATTCATATATTCTCAACCTTATTGTTTACCTTACAAACTGTTCTATAATATACTGAATAAAAATATAGTAATGTTTTGGGAATTTAAGTAACCGTAAATCAATCTAAACAGAAATTGCCTCAAACCATGAATATAAAGGGTTGGTTCTGAATTAACAGGCTCTTAATTCCACAACATATTATGTGTAATCCAGCAAAGTTTAGTGCTAAATGATTAGGATGTGACAATGATAAAACAATGAGTAAATTACATGTCTCTGAAACACAAACTCTCATGATATGAACACATTGTAAACAACTATAGTTATTCGGTTTTATTTCATTTCTGGGGAAATTATGTTTTAGAACGTATGAAGCTAGACTCAGGCGTAGCTGAGGACGAGTGTCTGCCCAGCACTTCTAGAGCTGGTGAAGAATGTGCGGCAGGAGAGACTCCTTCAACTTCGTCTGGGTCCCAAACTCCACCAACATGCTACAAGTGTGACGACTGTGGCAAGTCATTCAACCATAGGAGAAACCTTGTTGCTCACATGAAGACCCATGGCACTATTGGTAATTTAATATCTATCTATTATGTATTGAAAGTAAGCAAATTAAAGAGTAAAAATAAAAAAATATAAAAATTTATATGTTTAAACTAAACCCTTTACGAAGTTTTAAAAGTAATAAATAAAAATTGTAATTAACTACAAAATCAAGCATTTTTTTTTCTTTTATTACTTTGAAAGATCGTTATAACCATATCTCTAAATACTTGTTTCTTTCCTTTTGTTTTGTTTGTCAATACTTGATAAATTTTGTATTTATTTACAACTGTCTATAAAGTATTTCAATTGAAATATTTACTAACTGATTGACAACTATTTAACTATCCAGAATTAACAAAACGTACCACTGAACTATTTATTTTTTATTTTTATATTTTATATAGAAGGAGAAAAGTATTAATGCGTTTAACCGAAAGTACAAACTTTCAATTACTCATAGGATTTTACTAATACTCTTTTTTCTACTGTTTCAGATCCGGTAACATGTGACCACTGTGGAAGGTCCTTCATGAGGAAATCTAGTCTCACAAGGCATCTGGAATTCTCGTGTCCTGTCTTGCAGCAGCGGCAGCAGAATATTTCAACAAGCATCACTTCGAAGCTGCCGTCAGCTTCAAACGGCGGGGACGACGAGGTTCCGGGCTTTGTGAATACTGAGAAGGCCTTCCATTCTCGGCTGCGGACTTACGAGCTGCGCAAGAGCTTCGGCCGTAAGTTTACGCTTCCGCTGTTCTTTACATTTATTTTTGAACATCTGGCAACACTATTAGCTAAAGTCCTGGAAATGTATGATGCCGTAAAGATTAACATTTTCATGGAATGTGAATTTGAAAACATTCATGGAGAAACATGCTTTTAAAAGATATCCATATCTTGATCTGCACCCTGTGGTACGAGGCTGTGTCCATAGGGGTATGTAGTTATATTATCTACGAACAAATACCTTTTGCCATCGTAACCACTGAGAGTGAGTTTGTTCTCCCATCGGGTGCAGACCTTATGTTTAGTAGACCTAAATGTACTATTCATTGTATACAAATCTAGATTGTCTACTATACAATTTCTGTAGTGGTCAGCCCTCAACTTGTGCTGAACAACAGCCTTAGTAACACCTTTACATTTTATTTATATCTTTATTTTTTGAGTCCTGGGGAACAATGCAATAAACTTTAGTTCTAACGCCAAGGAATTCAAGAATGAACTCACCGTTCATCTCATCTTTCATTTTTCCTAACACCTTGGCGTTCGTAGGACTGTAAGCTGGGTTGTCTTTGTTGAGGGTGCTGGTATCGAGATGTTGCATCATCGATCGGAACTTTTCGTACATGTCTGCAGTGTACAGTTCAAGGATAAAACTGTCTGTATCCATGTACAACAAGTTCACGTTCTCCGCACCGAACTCGTTTACTAGCACATCATAGAAGAACCAGTACATAAGCTCCTTACTAATATCTAATATGGAGGAACCTACATAAAGAGGCTTCTCAAGAACGATGCTTGTTTTAGCCAAATGGAGACCAGCCAATGATTCAGTAAATATTGTGCTGTACAGAAAGTTGGGCTTAGCAATGCATTTTTCCAGCTTTCTGTTGTCAGACACAAGTTTGAAGTTCATACGTTTACGGTAATTTTCCATCGTTTTTCCAAAAACAGAATTGTTAAACAATTTAAAAAGATCTTTTTCAAAATCGTTCTTGGCCTGCTTACGTAGGTTCGTGTTGAGCTCAATGTACGGTTTCAACCATGGAGACTGATTGAACTGAAGGGCTCTGTGAACTTTGGTTAGTTTTAAACCATGTTTTAGTGCCTGTTTCAGAATACGGTAATGTACAATGTAGTTACTTTTAGGTTCTAAAGTGGTAAGTAATTTGGACATCTTTCCACCTGGAGGGACTTTTCTCTCACAAAGGAAGGGGAGACATCTGTGGGGTCCATGGAGGGATTCAGGGTATTCAACATCAACCTCAAAGATGTAGCCTACGTCAGCATCATCGGGCAAAGACTCCACTTCTAGGCTATCGATTTGCTCTTGATTGAGCCAACTGAAGCCTCCAGTGGGTAGATATTGTGACATGGCCCAACCGTATAGGTTATTAGCGTCTACATACGTGATGTATTTAGACGGTAGGGACGGATTGTAACCATCACAGTGTTTGTTGTTGGCTTTAGACCTTCGCTTACAAACCTGTGATATCCCTCCCCTGATGCTGTTTTCAAAGAAGAGGTACATATCGTGATCCTGAACTGTCTCTAGTTTTACATTAGTTTTGAATAACATTGCATCCCAACTGAAACTAGGTAATGTGATGTAGTGGGCAGGGTCAAGCTGGTGGGTCTGCAGACAAGTCTGCCGGAAATTCTCAAAGATGTCTGCGAGCAACAGAACATCAGTGAGGAGATTAATATCACTATAGTGTCCGAGGTCTTTTACATTGAAGGTACGCCACACCTTCTCAGCGTGGCTGTACTCTTCGTCTGAGATGTGCTCGAGGGACATTTTACTGTAGAACTTGACTTTTTCGGGGAGTTTGGTTTCATCTAATTTTGAAAGGGAAGAGACATACTCATATGGGAATACCCCCTTCCGAGTTAACAGCTCGAACTGTTCATCTACAGGGAACCGTTTCCTGGTCTCATTAAGGCAATCTTTAGGAAGGGATTCAGCCAACTTTGATAAACTAGATGGGAGGAATCTCAAACTAACCAGGAAACGAAGTCTTAGTACTCCACGGTTGGTTTCTTTAAAGGGAACGTACTTTGTGAAACTAATGTACTTTTCCTCGGAAGTGGGTATTACTGAAATTTCAGCTGTTAACTCGGAAGGGGGTATTCCCATATGAGTATGTCTCTTCCCTTTCAAAATTAGATGAAACCAAACTCCCCGAAAAAGTCAAGTTCTACAGTAAAATGTCCCTCGAGCACGATTTTGAAAAAGATCTTTTTAAATTGTTTAACAATTCTGTTTTTGGAAAAACGATGGAAAATTACCGTAAACGTATGAACTTCAAACTTGTGTCTGACAACAGAAAGCTGGAAAAATGCATTGCTAAGCCCAACTTTCTGTACAGCACAATATTTACTGAATCATTGGCTGGTCTCCATTTGGCTAAAACAAGCATCGTTCTTGAGAAGCCTCTTTATGTAGGTTCCTCCATATTAGATATTAGTAAGGAGCTTATGTACTGGTTCTTCTATGATGTGCTAGTAAACGAGTTCGGTGCGGAGAACGTGAACTTGTTGTACATGGATACAGACAGTTTTATCCTTGAACTGTACACTGCAGACATGTACGAAAAGTTCCGATCGATGATGCAACATCTCGATACCAGCACCCTCAACAAAGACAACCCAGCTTACAGTCCTACGAACGCCAAGGTGTTAGGAAAAATGAAAGATGAGATGAACGGTGAGTTCATTCTTGAATTCCTTGGCGTTAGAACTAAAGTTTATTGCATTGTTCCCCAGGACTCAAAAAATAAAGATATAAAAAAATGTAAAGGTGTTACTAAGGCTGTTGTTTAGCACAAGTTGAGGGCTGACCACTACAGAAATTGTATAGTAGACAATCTAGATTTGTATACAATGAATAGTACATTTAGGTCTACTAAACATAAGGTCTGCACCCGATGGGAGAACAAACTCACTCTCAGTGGTTACGATGGCAAAAGGTATTTGTTCGTAGATAATATAACTACATACCCCTATGGACACAGCCTCGTACCACAGGGTGCAGATCAAGATATGGATATCTTTTAAAAGCATGTCTCTCCATGAATGTTTTCAAATTCACATTCCATGAAAATGTTAATCTTTACGGCATCATACATTTCCAGGACTTTAGCTAATAGTGTTGCCAGATGTTCAAAAATAAATGTAAAGAACAGCGGAAGCGTAAACTTACGGCCGAAGCTCTTGCGCAGCTCGTAAGTCCGCAGCCGAGAATGGAAGGCCTTCTCAGTATTCACAAAGCCCGGAACCTCGTCGTCCCCGCCGTTTGAAGCTGACGGCAGCTTCGAAGTGATGCTTGTTGAAATATTCTGCTGCCGCTGCTGCAAGACAGGACACGAGAATTCCAGATGCCTTGTGAGACTAGATTTCCTCATGAAGGACCTTCCACAGTGGTCACATGTTACCGGATCTGAAACAGTAGAAAAAAGAGTATTAGTAAAATCCTATGAGTAATTGAAAGTTTGTACTTTCGGTTAAACGCATTAATACTTTTCTCCTTCTATATAAAATATAAAAATAAAAAATAAATAGTTCAGTGGTACGTTTTGTTAATTCTGGATAGTTAAATAGTTGTCAATCAGTTAGTAAATATTTCAATTGAAATACTTTATAGACAGTTGTAAATAAATACAAAATTTATCAAGTATTGACAAACAAAACAAAAGGAAAGAAACAAGTATTTAGAGATATTGTTATAACGATCTTTCAAAGTAATAAAAGAAAAAAAAATGCTTGATTTTGTAGTTAATTACAATTTTTATTTATTACTTTTAAAACTTCGTAAAGGGTTTAGTTTAAACATATAAATTTTTATATTTTTATTTTTACTCTTTAATTTGCTTACTTTCAATACATAATAGATAGATATTAAATTATGGGTCTTCATGTGAGCAACAAGGTTTCTCCTATGGTTGAATGACTTGCCACAGTCGTCACACTTGTAGCATGTTGATGGAGTTTGGGACCCAGACGAAGTTGAAGGAGTCTCTCCTGCCGCACATTCTTCACCAGCTCTAGAAGTGCTGGGCAGACACTCGTCCTCAGCTACGCCTGAGTCTAGCTTCATACGTTCTAAAACATAATTTCCCCAGAAATGAAATAAAACCGAATAACTATAGTTGTTTACAATGTGTTCATATCGTGAGAGTTTGTGTTTCAGAGACATGTAATTTACTCATTGTTTTATCATTGTCACATCCTAATCATTTAGCACTAAACTTTGCTGAATTACACATAATATGTTGTGGAATTAAGAGCCTGTTAATTCAGAACCAACCCTTTATATTCATGGTTTGAGGCAATTTCTGTTTAGATTGATTTACGGTTACTTAAATTCCCAAAACATTACTATATTTTTATTCAGTATATTATAGAACAGTTTGTAAGGTAAACAATAAGGTTGAGAATATATGAATGAACAATTTACTTTGTTATATTATGTTGTACGTATGTAAAAATAAAAATAAAACATCAGTGTTAATAGAATGGTTAGACAAATGTTCTAGAATAATATGTCGTTGGTTCTTACTTGAGTGGAGGGTAATGTGACGCTGAAGATTTCGTCGAGACTGGAAGACTTTGCCACACTCATTACACTCAAAGGTATCACCATCTCCATGGACACTCGACACATGACGGGATAAGTTGTGTTTTAGGGTAAAACTGGCATTAAAAACACTGCACTGAAACGCCATCTGCAACACGCATTTAAAAACATATTAGAAAGCTTTAGTTTATATTGCGTTATAGAGATAAAGAGATGTTAATAAAAGTTTATTAAAGTTTAGAAATGTACAAGTTGACGAACTTTTTTTTATTTTCCGCTAACTCAAAGCCAAATTTTATTTCAACAGAGAGCTTTATATTATAGGCTAACAAATATGATAAGAAACAGAACCTACTGAATGAAAGGTTTTATCATATTAGTAAACTTATGTAATAAAACGAAGAAGAAAATAAATTGATAATTGAAGTATTTGGTCGTCTTACATGAAGATTGACTTCAAACAGTTTTTAAACAAATGTTTCATTATAAAAAAATTATTCTTACTCATAAACTTAACATCAAATCAGGAAAATGAAATATCTATGTAACTTTCATATTAATAATAAATAGCGCGCTTGTATGTGTGTGTGTGTGTGTGTGTGTGTGTACTACAAACTATAGAGAGAATTACATGGGGATAAATACAAGCGATGTTTCGTTGTTAACTCTTAACTTAAATAGTGTTGTATAGTTCTAGGAGGTCTAGCAGATGTATCAGGTCTAGTAGGTCTGGTTGTCCGTACTAGAGCGCGCAAGCGAATGACTTAACAAGTCACGTTGAGAGAAGCGCGCTTGTAATGTAAGGGAGGGGGTGGCTCTGACAACACCTAAGTGGTGTATTCTGTCTCGTAGGGGGTGGAGGGGCGGGGTTGGAATAACGAGGAGGGAAATTCAAATTTAAATGTTCAAGTCCCAATACACATACAATTAATAGTAAAATGATACAATTGACAAAGAGTCCAATTCACACAACACTATACAACACTATACATATATTTACAAAAGGTTACTTCACAACACTTTGTTACTATTATTACTCCCTAACAACCCTGAGTCTTTTTACAAAACAATACACACGGTAGTCGTGCATCATATCATCATCAGAGTCTAACTCTGGATGGTGATAATTGGTCTGTACAACACAATCCTCCTTTTCAAGAATTTCAAATAGGGGACGATGCAAACAAATACAGCAATAATTCTCCTCTTTCCACAAAACGTTGTAGAGGACCACGTCCGAATCAAGGACATCGTGGTCAGTGTCTCTCGAATATTGCCAATCATCGGCATCAACCCCCCACATGCGTTTGATGTCCCCACGGTTATAGGAACAATGCTTCCTAAAACAGGACTCACACATCCTGTAGCTTCCCCTAGGATTACTACAAAAGTAGTACTTATACACTACATGGCATTGCTCCGGGAGGAATTCTGGAATGCCAAGGTCCTCGTCTGGATATCTCACAATCATCACAAACTCTTCTCGCGACAAGTTTTTCAAGTTGACGGAAGAATAATCAAAGTCTTCAGGTGGCGTCATTGGTGTTTGACTCCACCAAAGATCATGAGCCCGAGACCGTAAATACTGTTTAACGCTTAGCGGTAAAGGTAACTCCCCATGTAGCACAGATGGTTGGGCCAACGTTGGCCAACTGTGGGACAGTTGGTCGATGGTTGGTTGGAGCTTCCACAACCAACCAACCGTTGTCCAACTGTATATCTCGTAGTTGGGCCAACCAATATTTACAACTGTGGACCAACATCGGTTCATTGTTAATGAAATACATTAATATGCATTGTTGGGTATCATACATCAAGCCAACCGTTGTCCAACCGTTTTTCACTCCGTTGGACCAACAAAAGATACTTTTGTTGGACCAACGATGGTCCATAGTTGAGTTTACACGACTTTCATTCTCTGGGTCTAGCTTTCACAACATAATTATAATAAAATATCTGGTTTTACAATACCTTTATCAGTTCCAAAAGTTTCCAAAAGTTTTTGGAACTGATAAAGGTATTGTAAAACCAGATATTTTACATATTACAGTTCCGGGGCTACAACAATGAATTTTAATAATTATAATAATGCAAATATTTTTTAAATTAATATTCTTTAACTTATTTGCAACAATTTAAGGGGAAAGAGTAATTAATCATATAACAGTCAATTATAATAGCATTAATAATCTAACGGTAATTAATTAATCTATATTCAAATACCAGTATCCTCTCTAACTCCAAAAAAAAAATAACTACTTATGATGCCTTAACAGATTAACAGAATCATATTATACTGTGTAGTATCAAAAATGTTTGAAGTATTGCGACCATTGCAACTGTCGGCTACTCTTTCACCACTTGAAAACTCTCTGTATCAACAATCACAGATAGCTCAGTGGTAAGGTAAGAGGCTCATAAGTCGAAGGACCCGGGTTCGAGACCCGTCTGGGCCAAAAAATTTTGTTCCAGCTTTTTTTCAAAATTTGTTTTTATGAACTATTTAATCAATTTACTCAACTAATAATTATGCTTTTCGTACTAAAACTTTATTATTTTGT